TATCCTGCTAGTCCTTGAAGAGCCCGGTTTGAATGTCAGTCTCTTCTTCAGTAGTTCATACACTGTCATTCAGTTTTTCACTTACATGCAGCTATTTGTTTCAATATCTTATCTGCCTAAGTTGGATTTCTTGTGGAATAGTGAAAAGAACCCAGAAGTCTTGGGTTTGAGTTCGGCCAGCCACTCTTTCATGAAAGTGGGACCCTTATGAATATAATGGAATGAGGGATATATTATAAGAACTTACACAATTGTTGAGAAAGTTATTTTCCAGAAGAAGGAATTCACGGATCTGAGAAAAGTCACTATTGGGTTCCATGAGGTCCTCGTGTGGATGGGCAAGTCAGAGCTGCCAGGGGAATCTGGGAGGCCCGCCACATCCAGGAGGGGGGCCCTGAAAGAGAGCTGGAAGAATACTCAGTGAAAAGCTTTTGTCTTTGCCTGGCTACTGCCTCTTTGGATCCATGTTAAGGCCCTTGTGATGGGTGTGTTGATCAGCTGTGCTGGAAATTTTGAAGATCTGGGTATGAAGTGGGGGAGGGCCAGGACATGCTAGAACCCTCTAGGTCTCCGCATGTGTTGTCACAGCAAACTACAAAGACCTTGAGAGAGGAATAGATACTGTTTCACTCTGCTTCCCAAATCTTGCACAAATTCCTCTTTGGGCCAACTGTACTCACATGCATACAGGCAAGAGGAATCTGAGAAACACTGTTCCAGCTAATGAAGTCCATAGAGTACAAACCACCACTGCCACTTCTTGGCTATGTTGGTTGTATTGGGAAGTTGACCCAACCTTTCTGATCCCCTCCTTCCCTATTATTGTATTGATGTAAATGAGATAACTATTATAACTACCTCTATAGGGTGATTAGTAAGAATTAAATAAGATAATGCAAAAAAAAATCCATTACAAAATACATAGCTGGATGCGGTGGCTCATGCCTGTAATCCCAGCACTTTGGGAGGCCAAGGTAGATGAATCACCTGGAGAAGTTCGAGACCAGCCTGGCAAACATCTCTACTAAAAATACAAAAATTGGCCAGGCCTAGTGGCACATGCCTGTAATCCCAGCTACGCAGGAGGCTGGGGCAGGAGAATCACTTGAACCTGGGAGGCAGAGGATGCAGTGAGCGGAGATCACGCTACTACCCTCCAGCCTGGGTGACAGAGCAAGACTCCATCTCAAAAAAAAAAAAAAAAAATTACAAAATACAGAAGAACTTATCAGATTACTGTTGCTAGATACATCCATTCATTTCATTAATGTATGTTTATTGTGCATCTACTATGCACCAGCAACTATACTATGCCTAGGATCCAAGGCAGTGACAATATCCTTGCTATCTTCAAGCTGAATGAGACATAATTAGATATTCAAGTGGAGATGTAAAGCGAGCATTTGACGGACTGGATATCAGGGGATAGGCCCTGGTTTAAAACATACATTTGGAAGTTATTAGTGTTTAATAATGAAACTCTAAAATGTATGAGCCTGAATTAGGTCACTTTAGGTAAAATGCATGTAAATTGAGAGGAGAAGAGGTTTAATGTCTAAGATCCGAGACACTTCAGAATTTGGGGGTCAAAAAGATAAAGAGGAACAAGGAAAGAGGGTGAGAAAAAGCAGCCAGTAAGGCAGAAAGAGAACTAATAGAGAGTGGTGTCCAGGTTAATTTATGCTGAAAGACCAATTCATATGACAATTGAGAATTGACCATCAGCTTAGCACATGGAGGTCATTTGCCAAAGTGGAACAGGTTCAACACGTAATGGAAAGAAAGATTTTGGCATAAAGGGAAGCAGGAAAATAGGGTGGCAACAAGTGGGAAGGGTGTCAAGAGATATTATATATATATGTTTATGTGTGTGTATAATTTATATATATATAAGTTAAATAGAGCCAATTATATATATAGTATGTGTGTGTGTGTGTATGTGTATATATATATATAGGCTCTCTCTATATAGAGAGCTTGGGTGCAGCTTCCTATGAGGATGGAACCTTTACCCAGAGATGCAAACGAGGAGGAAGACTGCTTCCTTCAGGCGGTTCTCTCTTAAGAGGAAAATGTTCAAACTGAGTGAGCGTGCCCAGTTGTATCTGCAAATGTATTAATCCAAGTCACGCAAGTCACATCAACTTCTCAGGAGCAGACTGAGCAAAAGGGAAGAGAGAGGGGTGAAAGGAGGGATAAGTAGATTTCAGCGAGAGCAAGAACGTTAAAGAAATATTTCGAGAAGTTGAAAACGAAGAGAATTTTGCTGAAGAAGATTCTAAGTTCCAGAGGCTACAGTGGAAAGATGTGGGGAGTTGGAGTGGGAGACATGTCAGACTAGAGTGTGTGTAGTTTGAGACAACGATATTTCTCCTGTAGTGCTTGGAACAGGGGCTAGGTTAGATAAAGATTTGTTCCTTGAGAGAAACCTGACAAGACCTGCATGGGGCTGGGGTAATACATTGGTCCACATGGACCCCTGTTTGCCTAGAAGTGTTCATCTCCAATAAGGTCTACTCTGCTTACACCAAGGGGTCAGGAAAGGCTGACCTTGATTATCTTCTCCTTCTGTCCCTCCCTCTCCTCCACACCTGGCCCAGCAGAGGAAGGAAAACTAGCTTGACAGCTGACCTTGATTATCTTCTCCCTCTGTCCCTCCCTGTCCTCCACAGCTGGCCCAGCAGAGGAAGGAAAACTAGATTGACAGCTGCCCAGCCCTTCCCCTGAAAGAGGCGCAGGTTGCTTTACTACCACCGAGGCAAAAGTGGTTTGTCTCCTTCATGTCGTTCTAATCCTTACAGAAGAATTTGTGGCAGCAATACGAAGACTATAGCTAGGAGGATCAGCACCTCGGAACCTCTTTGAAACTTGCTAGAGGATGAGGGCAGTGGGCAAGAGGAAAGTTCCTCTGAGCACCTTCTGTGAAAAGGAGAAGCCGGGCCTTGGGGATGTTCCTTCAGTTTCACAAGTGGCAAGATTTTCACCTCCGGTTGGCAGCTTTCAAATCGTTTCCCATTTCTCCAACTTAGGAAGAAGCTGTGAAAGCCGCAGGCAAACGGGGATGAATGATTCATTTGGTCCTGGCTATTTCCTTCACTCCTAGGATGTCTCAATATCTACTCTGTTATTTGAGAATAATAATAATAATAATAATAAATCATCTGCTTCTCTGGGACTTTCAGCGGAGTCGTTAGGCACGTGATGAAACCTTGGGTTGCACGGGGCTCCATTCATCCATTCATCCGTCCGTCCATCCGTCCAACCATTCACTAGACCACCCACCCACCTACCACCCACCCATCCATCGCAAAGCCTTTCTCCCTTTCCGGCTTACACTGGGCGTTAAACTCCGGTCTCTCCAGGCCTCTGGCGCACGTACACACGCGCCGGCGGGCGGGCGGGGTG